ATCTCTTGACCTCGTGATCCACCCGCCTCGGCCTCCCAAAGTGCTGGGATTACAGGCTTGAGCCACCGCGCCCGGCGAAGGCACCTTCTTTACACACCAGAATCTTAGTAGATGCTCAACAAATGTTCTTGAATCTGATGAATTATCAATTTCTTTGCTACAAAGACAATAGGAAAACATGGACTCCAAATTCCTTTGTTAGTGCTTTTACAACTATATTCACCCAAAGTCAAAGTATTTGTTCTTGAAGCTATACCTTTTCACTCAAACTGCCATTCATGAAGTTTGACACAGAGTGCTGAAGACAGGTACCAAATGAACCAACCACAAATTTTAGGGCCAGCTCCCACTGGCTAGATTCCTGAAGATTTTGAAGCAGGGCAGTGATCGAATTTAAAACAGGTAAAACAAGCCCATCTCCTGCAGAGTGATAAAGGATTTTAATATTTAGATATGTTAAACAAAGAAAGATCATATTATTGAAAACTGTTTTCAGAGACAGCCTATTTCTTCAATACAGATAAGTCATGGAGTTTGTTCTCAAAGTTAATGAGAAGCTAATATAAGGCTTGAGTTAAACCAGAAACTACGTCCACTACCTAATGAGATACTTTGATTGTAACTTGACTATTTTAATTGAAATGTTCATATCTTTAACTGAAGAAAAACCATTTCTCCATTTGAAAGACAAAAATTTATAAACAAATTCATAGATGTTAACACTATTAAGCCAAATCACATAATCTACTGAACTTTTACATGAATAATATAAAAATAACTAAACAATTATATTAATGATATTAAATCACATTCATATTTAGAATTCAAAGAAATTTCTACCACTATGGGATTTTGTTTTTTTAGAGATAGGATCTTCTTCTGTTGCCCAGGCTGGAATATAGTAGTGCCATCATAACTCACTGCAGTCTTGAACTCCTGGGATCAAGAGATTCTCCCACCTCAGCCTCCCAAGTAACCAGGACTACAGGTGCACACCATTTCTTTCTATTAAGAAACCTTGAGGCCAGCCATGGTGGCTCATGCCTGTAATCACAGCACTTTGGGAGGCCAAGGTGGGTGGATCACCTGAGGACAGGAGTTTGACACCAGGCTGGCCAACATGGTGAAACTCTGTCTCTAGTAAAATACAAAAAAATTAGCCACACATGGTAGCACATGCCTGTAATCCCAGCTACTTAGGAGGCTGAGGCAGGAGAATTGCTTGAACCCGAGAGGCGGAGGTTGTAGTGAGCAGAGATCGTAGCACTGCACTACAGCCTAGATGACAGAGAGAGACTCTGTCTCAAAAAGAAAGAAAGAAAGAAAGAAAGCTTAATAGAATGTGATACATTTCTGATGTCAAATACCTTCATTAATGGAGCAGTATGGCAAACTGGTAGACTCCAAGGGGTATCTCTTGCTTTCTACAAAAGATACAAATAAGTTAAATAACAGTAAATAGATGGCCACACTAAAAGCCCAGACTTCATCACTATACAATATATCCACGTAACAAAATAGCACTTGGACCCCTTAAATGTATACAACTACCACTAAATAAAATAACTCTCATACAGCACATACACTCATAGATGTGTAAATATTTCACTATTATAAAAACATTCTTTTTTTTTTTTGGAGACAGAGTCTTGCTCTGTCACCCAGGCTGGAGTGCAGTGGCTCAATCTGGGCTCACTGCAGCCTCTGCCTCCCAGGTTCAAGCAATTCTGCTGCCTCAGCCGCCAGAGTAGCTTGGACTACAGGTGCATGCCACCACGCCTGGCTAATTTTTATATTTTTAGTAGAGATGGGGTTTCACCATAATGGCCAGGCTGGTCTCGAACTCCTGACCTCATGATTCACCTGCCTCGGCCTCCCAAAATGCTGTGATTACAGGCGTGAGCCACTATGCCAGGCCCGCTATTATAAAAAAGTTGTAAAGGAAATTGCTGCTTTAAAAATAAATACACACAGTAAAATGCACAGCTAAGTGTATAACCGGATAAATGTCCATAAACTGAAGGAGCAGCATCCACATCAAGAAACAGAACATCGGCCAGGTATAGTGGCTCATGCCTGTAATCTCAGTACTTTGGAAGGTCAAGGTGGGCAGATCACTTGAGGTCAGGAGTTTGAGACCAGTCTAGCCAACATGGTGAAACCCCATCTCTACTAAAAATATAAAATTAGCCATGCATGGTGGCATGAGCCTATAATCCCAGCTACTTGGGAGGCTGAGGCATGAGAATCACTTGAACTCAGGAGATGGAGGTTGCAGTGAGCCGAGATCACCCTGCTGCACTCCAGCCTGAGTGACAAAGCAGGACTCCATTCCAAAAAAAACAACAAAAAAAGAACAAGAAACAGAACACGGTCAACTTCCCAGCTACCCCCTCCTTCCCCTTTCCCACCCTTAAGGGTAATCACTGCCCTGACTTCAAACAGCACCAGCTTAGTCCTAGCCTCTGTTTGTACTTGGTACAAATGATATCATGCAGTACTTATTCTTTTGCATCTGGGTCTTTTGCTCCACATTATGCCTCTAAGATTCACCCACATCACTATGTGTAGTTCTAGTTCCAAACCTCTACAGTTTAAATTTACATAAGGCAGAAATACATAGAAAATAATGACACAAGTAAGATTTACCAGCTAGAGGCACAAGAGATGAAATCAGTTCATAAATAACCGGCAGCACCATCTGTGACTCAAGAACAATTCCATCTTCACTGAAGAAGTCACTGTAAGACCACTCTTTATATGGATCTTTATGTGTCCCCAAAGAAGCCTAGGTGCCAAATCATACACAAAAAAGAAAGTCAAGTTTGCTGCACAACACAAGTAACGATCTTCAACAAGCAGAATCCAGAATCAGATCTATGAAAGCCAAACATTTTATTTTATTTTAATTTATTTATTTTTGAGTCAGAGTCTCACCCTATGGCCCAGGCTGGAGTGCAATGGGGCAATCTCGGCCTTCTTGGAGGCCTAATGTTTTGAAAGTACAAATTAAAGCCAATAAAGTGACTGGAACAGAGAAGTGGCCTCATGCCCTTATGTTGTGTTTTTTGACACGGAGTCTCGCTCTGTCATTCAGGCTGAGTGTAGTGGTACAATCTTGGCTCACTGCAACATCTGCCCCCAAGGTTCAAGCGATTCTCCTGCCTCAGCCTCCCGGCACATGACACCACACCTGGCTAGTGTTTGTATTTTTAGTAGAGACGGAGTTGCACTGTGTTGGCCAGGCTGGTCTTAAACTCCCAACCTTAAGTAACCCACCCACCTCAGCCTGAAGTGCTAAGATTATAGGCATGAAGCACCACACCTGGCCTTTATTTTAATTTTTAAGCTTACAATAGAGATGAGGTCTCACTGTGTTCCCCAGGTTGGTCTTAAACTCCTGGGCTCAAATAATCCTTCCAGCTCGGCCTCCCAAAGTGCTGGGATTATAAGGCATGAGGCCATCACATCTGGCCTAGAGCCAAACAGCTTGGGTGGCCAAATACAACCACGTACTATGTTTCTTCTGGTCTATGGCTTATAGAAATTTCATTTTAAAGGCTGGGCACAGTGTCTCACGCCTGTAATCCCAGCACTTTGGGAGGCCGAGGTGGTGGATCATGAGGTCAGAAGTTAAGACCAGCCTGGCCAAGAAGGTGAAATCCCAACTCTACTAAAAATACAAAAATCAGCCGACATGGTGTCGGACACCTGTAATCCCAGCTACAAGAAAGGCTGAGGCAGGAGAATTGCATGAACCCAGGAGGTGGAGGTTGCAGTGAGCCAAGATTGCACAACTGTACTCTAGCCTGGGCAACAAAGCGAGACTCCATCTCCAAAAAAAAAAAATTTAATTTTAAGTTAAATTCTAAGAGGAGGACAATGTCAAGGGAGGCCTTGTTGGAGGCCCTGCATTTTAAGATAGAGCAAATTAAAGCCAATAACGTGACTGGAACAGAGAAGTGACCTCATGCCCTTATGCTATTTTCCAGTCTAGGCTAAGAAAATATAAGAGGTGGATTCAGTATCTTCATAAACTTTGCAAATGAATAAAAAATGGGCCAGGCGCATTGGCTCATGCCTGTTATCCCAGCATTTTGGGAGGCTGAGGTGGGTTATCACTTGAGCCCAGAAATTGAAAACCACCCTGGGCTAGATGGTGAGACCCTATCTGTACAAAAAAATTTTTTTACACTAGTTGGATGTGGTGGCACACACCTATAGTCCCAGCTACTTAGGAGGCTGATGTGGGGGGATTGCTTAAGCCCAGTTCAAGGGGGCAGTAAGTCTTGATTATGCCATTGCACTCCAGCCTGGGTGACAGAGCAAAACCCTGTCTCAAAAAAAAAAAAAAAAGGTGCATAAGGGGCATAATGGGTTGCCAGGGATTTGTTAAGGGAAAAAACTCAAAAGTAACTTACTTTCATGAGGATTTCACAGTCATCCATTTGGCACTGTCTGGAAAGCTCTACAGCCATTAAAGTATGTTTACATAATTCTAAAGCATCTAGTAAAAAATCTGAAAGAAAATAGAGAAAAATCATAAAACTCATATTCTATGTCTCAGGATAATGAAAACAACCTTTTAATAATTACCATTTAAAATTCTAAGGAAGGCCACAATGTAGATACAAAGGTTTCCATATAGCTTTGACCAACCTAAAAAGTCCATTAAAACTTTTTCTCAAGCTTGGCTTTAAAATAAAATCAGATATGAGAGGCAAGGAACTTCATAATCCTATGAAAGTGAGTAATGTCAATAGTCACAAATGGCATTGTTAATATTTTGAAATACTTTCAAACAATAATCCTCAAAGAGAATCAATTATAAGCATCCCTTCATAAAATGAAGATGCTATCTCTAAACTGATTACTGTGATGTCCAATGGTAAAGAGACAGCATTTGGGAGACAAGTATGACATGAACCAGGGTGCATACAACTATGTATATTATAAATCTTGTCACCTGGACTGCAAATGGTAGCAGCTTGGCATGCTAGATCGTGTATCATGGAAGGAAGGTTCTGTCCCACAGGCACCGTCACTGGGATATTATCAGCCAACATCTGACAAAGCTTCTGACACGTCAGAAACAGCAATTTCCCAGTGTCGGCATTGCAGTGATACTTAAACAAGTCTCTTTGGAAGAAAGAAAGTATTGGTAGTTAGAATACTCACATTGAAAGTAAACGCATGTGCCTTTCTTGGTTTAATACATCACCACCACCATCAACACATAAATTGTCTTTTAAATGTTTTCGAGGTTTACAGTGTAGTTTTTCTTGCCTTTCTTTTTTTTCTGAGACAGGGTCTAGCCCTACCGCCTAGGCAGGAGTTTAGTGGTGCAATCATGGCTCACTAGAGCCTCCAGGGTCAAGCAATCTTCTCACTTCAGACTCCAAAATAGCTGAGACTACAGGTGTGTGCCAACACACTCGGCTAATTTTTAAATTTTGGTTGAGATGAGTTCTCACTATGTTGCCCAGGCTGGTCTCAAACTCCTGGGCTTAAGTAATCCTCCTGCCTTGGACTCCCAAAGTGCTGGGATTACAGATGTGAGCCACTGCGCCCAATCTGGTTTTTTTGTTTGTTTGTTTGTTTGTTTTTTAAACTGAGTCTCACTTGCTCTTGCCCAGGCTGGAGAGCAGTGGTGCAATCTCAGCTCACTGCAACCTCTGCCTCCCAGATCCAAGTGATTTTCATGCCTCAGCCTCCCAAGTAGCTGGGATTACAGGTGCCTGCCAGCACACCTGGCTAATTTTTAGTAGATGGGGTTTCACCATGTTGGCCATGCTAGTCTCGAACTCCTGACCTCAAAAGATCCACCCGCCTCGGACTATCAAAGTGCTGGGATTACAGTCATGAGTCACCGCGCCTAGCCACAATTGTTACTTTCAGAGAAGCTATGCAGTTCAGGGATCTGGATTGTCACCTGCATTTTTTCAGTGCTGTTTTGATGTTCCCGTCTTTTAAGGCTCTCAGGGTCAGCTCTGCCTCCAGCTCTTGTTTGGACATCTGCAGGGCCAGCGCCTGTCTGTGTAGCTTTGATTCCATGCTTGGGCTTCTCACCTCAGCAGCTATGGGCTCTGGGGTGCTCCTGGGTTTATGTTTCGCCTGTGCAACTTCGTGAGCTTTAATGTATTGCTCACGGAGATCTGCTACCAGGGAACTATTGCTATAATCTTCAAATGAAAGAAAGACCTCAAAGTTCTCCTGTAATAAAGGTAAGCAAGAAAAAGTCCCAAGTCTGTTTAATCTATTGTTTAAAATAATCATTTTTATTAGTTTCTTTCTTTTTTTTTTTGAGACAGAGTTTCACTCTTGTTACCCAGGCTAGAGTGCAATGGCGCGATCTCGGCTCACCGCAACCTCCGCCTCCTGGGTTCAGGCAATTCTCCTGCCGCAGCCTCCTGAGTAGCTGGGACTACAGGCACGCACCA